CCAAGCAGCGCTGGGGAGGGAAGAGAGAGGGGGACGTGGATGGGGGGGGGGGAGTCCATGGGCTGAGTCACAGCTTCAGGGGCTTCTCTCTCTCTCCTCCCAGCAGGCCGAGCCAGTGGGATGGGCAACATCAAGACCCTGGGGGACACGTACCAGTTTGCTGTGGACGTTAGTGACTTCTCTCCAGAAGACATCATCATCACCACCTCGAAAAACCAGATTGAAGTCCATGCAGAGAAGGTAGGGCCCCCCTCCCTGAGGCAACCCCCCCCCCACACACAGACACTTTACCATGACCTAAGAACAGAAACATTATGTCTCAGAGAGTGGAGTGTGTTTTGGGGTGGGGTGGGGGGCTCTCACCTGCCATGCGATCGCTTGCTTGGCCACCTTTTGTCTCTCACACCAGCACCTTCCCGATGCGACGCCTGCACGCCCCTTCTCCTCTTCCTGCCAGTGGCCTGCCTTCCTGCTTCCTGGCTTCCTCCGAGCCCTCCACCCCACCCTCAGGGGAAGAGGCTGGAGAGCCATGAAGGCGAGGGTCTTTGAGGAGAAGACCGGAAAGGAAGCTGGACTCAGGCATCTGTTAGGGCAGCAAGAGTGACACATGTTATCATTCATTCACATGTTCATTTTACCTATGTTTCAACGTACTTATACCAGTATCTCAAACACAGCTAAAACAGCTCAGATTATTTTCAAAAATGTAGAAGACTTTTAAGCAGTTGTACAATTCCAACCACACAAGATGAGAAGAAAGGAGAGACCCAACGGCGGTTTTGCAAAGTGCTGACCCCTCCTGGGGAACAGCCGCGTTTGACCTTGGTTCCCGACCCGAAGGCAGGGCTGGGGCCCCGGCCAGGCCTCCAAGGACCTGGGAAGTGACAGGAGCAGCCAGGGGATTCTGGGCGCTGGGCCTAGCTCGAGGGCCTGTCTCCATGGCCTCTCCTTGGGGGAAGAGAAGGCCTGTCCAGTTCAGAGGGTCTGGAGAAGGTTCTGGACACCGACTGGGGAGGAGGAACTCCTGTCTTGAGGAAATAAAAGGGGGGGGACCTGAAAAAGGATCAGGCCTGTGGGCGGCCCTCAGCTTCTCCTAAGCCACAAAAGCTGAAGCTGGTGCCCGTCTCCTTTCCAAAAGGTCACTGAGGTCCTGGAGGACATGGCTTCTGGGGTGGCCTCTAGGCGGCCATCGGTTAGAGAACAGGCCGTCTGTGGTCTGGTCAGCCTCCTCCTCCTCCCTCTTGCACTTGAGCAAAGCCCCACAGCAGGAGTGTTGAATCCTGAGCAGCGCAGGCAGCCTCCAGCTGGCCTGCAGCCCCAGTGACAAAAGCTGGGTACACACCGATCTTTCCTGCCACAATTGGACTTTGCCTGGCCTCCTGCAGGGAGAACGCAATGTTCTGGATGGTAGCCATGGCGACAGAAACATTCTTCACTGAGCCATTTTCCTTGGCCACAGCCTCTCCCCCTGCAAAAAAAAATATGATTGGAGTGGAAAAGACCAGACGGGGCAGCAAACGATCTGGGCTCCTGGCTTTTTTTTTTTTTTTTTTTTTTGCAGGGTGGGATGGGGGTGAGCTGGTGGTGAAATCCCCAGGCCAGTCTTCCCCAGGGAAGAGGATGTTCAGGGAGAGCTTCAGGCCAGCAGAAAGACTGGAAGCCATCAGGTCAGGCCCATTTTTACAGGCCAGGTAACTGAGGCTGGCAGCCAAGGTCTTCTCCCAAGGCCACAGGCACGGATTAGGACTTGAACCCTGGGCTGATCTTAAGAGTCTAAGTCTCTCAGAATGGGGCAAATATTTATACCAGAGGGGAACAGACCGACGGGGCCTCCCAAAGGGCTGAAGCAGAGGGAAGCTGTTTATAGCTGTGAAGGTGGCAACAACGCAAAGGGTCCCCACGAGGCCAACCCCCCCCCCAGGTGGCATTCCCTGTAGGGTCCACCCTCAAAGGGTTAAGGACGAAGGTGGGCTGGGGTGAGGGCCAGGACTACCAACCCCCCACTGGACACCTCTCTTTCCTCCCCCCAGCTGGCGGCTGACGGGACCATCATGAACACGTTCACCCACAAGTGCCAGCTGCCAGAGGACGTGGACCCCACCTCGGTCACCTCCGCCCTGGGCGCAGACGGTGCCCTCACCATCAAGGCCCGGCGGCGTCCAACCAAGCCCCCGGAGCATCTGCAGCCCCAGCCGACCTTCCGGACTGAAATCAAAATATGAGCACCCTGCCTGCCAGAGCGCAACACATGGGAAAAGGGCTGAGGGTGGGGTGGGTGGGTGGTGTCAGGAAGCCTGGTACAAAGTTGGGTGGGGGGTGAGGGGAGGGGGGTCCTGGAAGGCAAGAAGAGGGAGGCCTTGTCTTCATTCCTCCCTGGGGGGTCTCCCTTGTACATAAGGGCTTGTCCTGAGTTTGTTATAAATGATTGCTGAATCTGCCCTCCATTTTCTCCTCCTCTTCCTTTCTTTCCTTGGAGAAGCCTCCCTTTGCAAAAATCAGCCCCCTTATGCTGTGCTTCTTCTATTAAATACAGGGAGTTAGGAGAGAGAGCGAAAGCAAAAGAGAGCAAGAGAGAGAGAGCATGGGTGGAGGGGGAAGGTTGGAGGGGAGAAGCCTGGTGTTCTGCTGGGTGCTCTCTTTTTCACAGTCCTGTTCTTCTGAGGGCAATGAGGACTAGAAACCTGTACTTCCTTTTTTTCTCAAGACAGAGAGAGAGAGAGATTGTGTGTGTGAGAGAGAGAAAAGAGTTACCAGGTCTCCATATGCACCGAGTAGAAGAAAATCCTCTGCCAGCCCAGCTCTCTAAGATAGAGGACCCCTCCCTTTCTGGAAACGAGGAGGGTCTAACAGAGCCCCCCCCCCATCCACGGGCAGCCCATGCCCTGCTCTGCTCCACAAGACACAGCCCTGGAGCTGCACCTGATTTAAGGCCAAGGCTACCGGCCTTAAATATGTCTCGGGCCGAGTTTATTTCTCTTCCTCCGGAGAGGGATTGGAGACAGCTTGGGAAAGCTTGTTTTGGAGGTTGAAAAAACCAACTTGGGAGGATCCTGGGATCTACTGTTCAACGTGTTGCAATTCCCCCGGTTCTGCATTTTGGGGAAGTGAGGACAGCCGCTGCTATCCGGGGGGAGGGGGGCGATCTTCCCTCGGCCAACATCCACCTGCATCTCGCCGCCTGCTCAGTCCCACTCCCCTCCTCCTTCTTTCCCTGCTTTCCCAGCATAGGCGAGGGGGAGATCCTCACTGGGACTGGGAGGGCACCCGGCTGAACCCCTGCAGGGCACAGACGATCCACGAGCGAGATCCCGAAACAGAAGACTGGACCACTACATTAAATCAAGCCATGAAGGCCACAACCCAGAAACGCACTCCCTCAGCCCTGGGGAGGAAGTCTGGGGGTGGGGTGGAGGTGAGGGCATCCTTCCAAGCGAACCAGCGAAGGCTCCTGTTCTTCACCAGGGCAGATGAACAGCCAGGCCTATCCGCTCCTGGCAGCTTGGCCGAGGGATGGCAAGGGACGATGGGGCTTGAGGTTCCCCTGACTGGTGCGACATCTCGTCCTGTCCTGGTTTCCTACGTCCATTACTACGCAAATACCTGGCCACTTCCCTCAAATCCAGCAGCAGGAAAGAAAAGGCTGCTGGGAAAGGCAGGCAGGGGGTGGTGGGAGAAGGACCCCCAGCACAGACCAGCTGGCAAGCCCTGCCCTCGGCTGGGTCTCAAGAAGGGGAGCTTCGTGGCCCAGGGGGAGACTCAGCACAGGGGTAGGGGTGGGGGGGGCTGGTGTTCGTCCTGGGTGCCCCGTCCCAACGTTTTCTCTCCCCGGCCGGCCATCCTTTTCTGCAGGCTGAGGGCCAAGGGCGTGGAAGGAGAGAAACGGCCAGGGACAGAGTGAGTCACCAGCTGCAAATAGATGCCCCGCCTGACAAAGGACACCAGCAGTCACTCTGTCAGGAGGACGCAGCCTCCGCTGGGGGTGGGGATGGGGGCCCGCTTTCCCTTCCAGAATCTAAAGTTCTTTTCCCCACTGAAAAGGCTACGTACCCCTGTGGGCAGAAGACCCGGCACCCCCTGCCACGGCCGCCAGCAGGAAAAGCCACATCGGCCCAACCCTCTCCCATGGGTATTCCTTTAAAAAGCACGTGTGGGGAAATCTCTTCTGTCTTGTGAGAGATGGCAGTTTCTAAACGGCACCAACCACCTTCAGATGCTGCAGCAAAAATCCTGATTCTTTGCCTTCCTCTCCCCCCTCCACACTGACAGCGGGTACTTTCACTGTGCACCCCCCTCCCTTTGCTATCCCTTGCCAGTGCCCACCCATCCGCCCTGCCCCTTTCACAAACAGTCTGAGCTGTCCAAAGGTCCTCACGCTGACACAAGAGCACCAAGGGCTGCGGGCAGACCAACAGCCTGAGGTGAGACAGAGCGGGGAACAACTTCAGACTTAGGGAAGGAAGTGTATACACCACACCACTTCCACTATGGAAAGGAGGAAAGGAAGGGGGGGGGGAAATCTGCATGCACGGGGTTGGCAGGTCAAAGGGAAGGCAAGGTTAGAACCCTGAGACACTGACTTTCTAAGTGCGAGGGTTTATTTATGTATTTTTTGCAGGGAGTTTTCCAGGGCCATCGGCTGAGTCTCTACTTGCCCTCTGACAGGCTACAGCCCAGATTCAGACCGATGGGCCTGTCTGGCACCTTGGAATGGATCCTGTACTGTCTGCCTGTTTCCTGGGGATGGGGGTCAGCCGGTGGTGCTGATTCCCTCAGGAAGCTGGAATTCAGTAGGAGGGGAGGGGAGCACACCCCTCCCCACCGAGAAAGATGTTCCCTGGCCTCCTCGCGCCTGCCCAGGTAGGGGGCTGAGCTGGGGGCCAGGGCAGTTGCAAACCCATCCGGCCTGCCTCCCGAGTGGGCAGAGCAGTGGAAGCCGCCTCGGTTCACCCTGGTTTTGTCTGCAAAACAGCACAGGTGGTGCCATTTGTTTGGCCCTGCAACTGGGCTTGTTTGTAGTTACCACAAGCTCTCTTGTCAGCTTTGTTGGTCCAAGGCTTGGATTAGCTCAGAGGTCATCCTGCCCTCGGCGGGCTGGCTGGGAGAGGCCATAAATCGGGGAGGGGGGCAGGGGGAGAGAGGGGGGCAAGGGCATCAGGAGGAAGCCCCCCCCCGTATCTGAGCTGGAAGGGTCTAATCCGGTGCCATTCAGGGCCAAGCCCCTCCCTCACCCCTGGCCCCAAAAAAGAGGCTTCTGCAGTATAACCTATATAAGGTCAGTGAACAGAATGGCAACCCATCGGTCCTGGATGGAGAGAAGGTATACAGTATATTAAATAAGTAAATAAATATATAAATACATAGGTTTACGCCAGTTCGGGGTTGATGGGGCGGCCCTTCCCAAGACTGGGGGGAGGGGCTGCCTTCGACTTCCCCTCCCCCGTTAATGGAGAGCTGCCCCCCCTTCCTACCCAGGGGGCCCCAAACCAACCTCTTGGACGGGTCCTGGGGGGGGGGAACGAGGCTGGGACCCCCGGGGCCTTTCCTTTCCCGGCCGCCCAGACCTCTGGAGGGAGGGCCTTGTGTTGTGTCGTGTTGTGGGTGCAGTGGGGCTGGGGGGGGGAACTCTCTTTGTCCTCCTCCTCCTCCTCCTCCTCAGGGAACGATTTCCTCTAAGCTCTCCTCCAAATTTAGCTTCGCAAGCCTCCGACCTTGGACTAGGAGTCCCAGAATCCCGATTGCTACAGGGGGATAATGGGAGTTGCCGTTTTTAAAAGGGGGTCTGAACCGCTCGCCGCCCTCCCCAAATCCCGCTTTGCCGGAGGGGGGGGGCTGTCGTCGCCTCACCTGACGAAGGGCTCTGCACAACTCGAAAGTTGGCGCGTTTGGCGAGGGCGGGGCTGCTCCGTGTCAATCAAACGGCGAACGCTCCGCCCACTCGCGGGTTCCCCTCTGGTCCGCACCGTTGTTCGGGGGGGGCGGGTGGACGAGCGAATCAACGCCGCCGAACCAGTCCTGCCCGCCCTCCCCGCCACCGCCCCTCACGGGACCCTTCCTCCCCCCGAAGGGCTCCCGCCCCAGGCCTTGTCCCTCGGCCGCCATGGCAACGGCGAAGCGGCCCTTTGGTCGACGTCCGCATCACGTGCCCGCGACGTCACCACTTGCCGTAAAAGAGAGAGGAGGCGCATGCGCACAAAGCCCCAAGAAACACCGCGCCGATGCATCCTTCAGTACGCCTGCGCCCTCGCGCGGTGTTTCGGCGCCGCGCCGCCGCGCAAGAAGGCGGTGACCAAAGCGACGCCGCTTCCGCCCTGCCGCAAGATGGCGGTGCCCTTTGTCTGTTCCGTGTCACTCTGAGCGCCGCCGGCGGCCGGGATTAGAGGCGCATGCGCACAAAGCCCCAAGAAACACCGCGCCGATGCATCCTTCAGTACGCCTGCGCCCTCGCGCGGTGTTTCGGCGCCGCGCCGCCGCGCAAGAAGGCGGTGACCAAAGCGACGCCGCTTCCGCCCTGCCGCAAGATGGCGGTGCCCTTTGTCTGTTCCGTGTCACTCTGAGCGCCGCCGGCGGCCGGGATTAG